ATGAACAAGAGGATGAAGTTTCTATGTTCTGTAGAAATCATTTTAACTGATGTGCCATCAGGGTTTATAATACTGCCTACATAAAAATTAAATAGATTCTGTAGAAGCAGTAACACTGACTGATTAGGAGAACAAAGGCAAAAAGGAAGGTACTCAGACAATTAAATGAATTATACAAGCTATCGTAGAGAGTTTGTTACTTTCATACTTTTAAACTAGGGCGACTAAAAAATGAACACATCCTGTTCAATAATTTCTTAAGGCAACTGGAGAGTGAAAAACAACAACAAACATGTAATGCAATCCCCAAAGAAGCCATTTCTATGACAGCACTCAGATTATGGAAATCATCTTTCCATTTGTGGTCTTCCATCAAGATTCACATCACCCATCCATTTAGGGTCCTCTGCTGCCTCCACCATTCCTGGCCCTGCAATCCTTCAAGTATTGGGGATGGTGAATTTCTGCAGCAGGGAAGCTTTTCTGCCCATCTAAAGCCCCAGTTGTTTAGATTTCTAAATTGTGCTGGGAGGCTCCTCACAACAGATGATCAGCTCTAATGCATGAGGGCTATTGGGCTAATGGCAGTGATGGGACCTCAGCTCTCCCTCCTGATATACCTGGAATCGTGAAGATGAATATCTACATAGGACTATAGTTAGGGTTGAGAAGGGAAGAGATGAAATGGGGGAAGTACTCCACATTTCTTCACCTGGTTTAAGAGATCAGGAAGTGTAACTGCATTGAACCTCTGAATGCAATCCAATATACCTGGGAGTAAATCCCATTGAATTAAATGGGGGGTTGGTTCTGATTAGCATGCATAGGATTTTGCTGTGTTTCACTTGCATCTACAATCTACTGAAGAAGGAAAGAGCACATGAAATGAAGTACGAAAGTATGAAATAAATTTATTCCATTTCAAAGTTATCTGAAGTTATCTTTTCCTGTGATAGTTGAGTTTGAGCAACTATTAAACCATGGGCCTGAGAGCCCCTCGTGAGGCCCGTTTTTGCTTCTGAAACACTTATCTGCAAATAAAAACAAACTTCTAAAAATAATCTAGTTTCATTCTGGTGGGAATCGAGGCAAAATCATCTAGCTTGAAAAATGGGAGACTTACCTCCTGGGACATTCATTCTGATGTTAAAAGAAAAGAAGTCTACCCATAAAAGGTTGTTTGTTTATCTAGCACAGAGAAAAGATGTTTATTGATTTTTTTCAAAAGGTTTTTAAAAGACATGCACATATTTGAAGCTGAATAAAATCTAGAGTACTCTACAAGGTTTAGTTCTCTTTCCTCACACAGAGAGCAACATCATTCATATAACCTAATAAGTAATACAGTTCAGTATCAGTGGTGGCGGGGGGCTGCCTCTGGCAATCCAATGGGTGGGTAGGAAAGCTAAAGTATCTATTTACTTAAAATACAATTTGAAGTGAAGAACAGGGTGCCTTTGACCACATTCTGAGCCTAGGAATTGTTTCAGTACCAGAACAGATGAGAGCTCAAAGTCTGTTTGCATAGAAAGTCCACTATTGGGTAGCTTTCTTTATTTCAATAACCTAATTTAGTTTGTTAAGCAGTTGAAATTCAGAAACCATTTCTGATCTACTACATATCAGCCCAAATTTTCCACTAGATCCCAAACTACCTTTTGTTCATCCTTGGTGTCAGGGCTTTTTTCAGCCAGAACTCGCCAGTACTCAGTTCCAGCACCTCTCAGGTGCCATTGCCATTCTAAGATAACAAGGGTGAGTTCCAGCACCTCTTTTGCCCTAGAAAAATAGCACTGCTTGGTGCAGATCAATACGTTATTGTGCAATGCAGTCTTTCCTTGCTTACAATATTGCATGTTGCCAATTGGTATAAAAAGGAAGTATCAGCAATGAGATGTATGTTTTTTAAAAAACAAAAAACTTAAATTTAAACAGAAAGAGCAGGGGGCACACAAATTTGTCAGTGTATCTCTGTATACCACAAAATCACCGTAGATGAAGTTAGCTATTCACACCATTCTACACTTTCTATTGATCTTATAAATCTCTGTTATAGAAATTTTAGTTTTTTTTTTGCAGCCAGATCCTAAGCTGTAAACCTTGTTCAATGGTGCTTATTTCCATATACGTATTCATGGGACTGAAGTCTTATAGTGTAAGCCTATCCATGTCTACTCAGAAGTAATCTCCATTGAGTTCAAAGGGACTTTCTGGAGTGCAGCCTCTGTCCATCAGCTTGTCTGCTGTGGAACTGACCATCATTCTGACCCCAAGAATGGTAATGCAGATTGCTCATGTGTACCAACCTCAAATCTCTTATTTCTTATACCACACATAGCACACAAAGCACATCTACATGGTAGGCACTTAGCACACACACCGAGAAACATGAGGAATGTGTGGAACCACACAAGAGAAGAAACCCTGATATTCAAAGTCTATATGAACATAATGGTGAAGTACTGGAAGTTTCATTTTTAAATAACCTAAGTTTAATTAAAAAAAAAACCCACAGAGAGAGAGAGTGGAGTATATTTTTTATGGATCAGCCTGGCTGCTGTCAAATCGGAATCTGGGGATACCAAATAAAAAACAATGTGTTACTTTGATTCTCTTCCAATCATATGGCCCATTGAACTACAAGCAGCCAGCCCATAATTGTGCCCTTTCTTTGCATCAGTAAGCAAACCAAAAAACAGTGATAAGTCTCAGTGCTTGGTCTATGTACAGGATCTTTTCTCCTTATAAGTGATAAACACTGCAAAAAAATTTATTTATCTCTTGAAACACATGAAAATATGGAATTACTGATGGTTGCAGATTAAATTGCAAAGATTATCACAGTGCATATCAAACATTGCACAAAACTATTATAGGAATACTCTGTACGTGAAGCCATACAGGAATTGATTTTGAAATACCCACGTTTTGGAGCTTTCCCTTATCTTTATTTCTTGTACATTAATACTAGTTTTTATCAGTAAAATTATAATTGGATTTCACAGGTTTGTCAAAATGTAGCAACTTTTAGAAACAACAAACATCCAGTTCTGTTAGCTGGCAGTAAAGATACATTCCCTTCTAAGTCATGTTTTCTGGTACTTCCTCTGTGGAGAGCTTGAAGATCCTACATAACTACAGCCTTCTCATCAGTATTTTGCTTGCAAACCAGAGACATAAGATGGATTCAGGATACAGCCTGTTGAATTTGGATCCTCCAGCCATGTGCCCTCACCCATAAAGGATGGGGCAAAGCAGCCATCACTTCAGCAACAAGTGAAGTGGGGGGATGATATTTGGCACGCAATTTTTCAACTGCAATGAACTACAGCCTTGGTGCTTGTTATTTATTTACTGCTCGCAATACAAAAGAAAAGAGTCTTCAGTCAGAAAGGTAATGTAGCCTTACAACTCCACCTGGACAATTTACTATTTAAAGAAACGGCCCCCAGACCCAAGTCTTGCATACTTAATTCCTGTATTTGTAACATTCAGTTGGGCTGTATGTAATATGTACATGATCTGAGACATAACACCCTCCAGTCTTGGGTCTTCTGAGCACCAAACCTCAGTGTCTGTGGTGTTTAAGATTTGTGTATTTAAAAACATTCCTACACTGCATTACATCAAAAGAGATTCCAGGGAGGTATACAACAGTATAGATAACAAATTAATTAAACCCCAACCCTGTACAATAAACACTAACATTAGCAACCATAATAAAGAAGGCAGATGATATCTTTAAAAGCAGGCTAAATGAAAAGAACCTTAACCTGCACTTCCAAAAAACTGTAAAGTACCGGTAGGTCCCAAACAAACCTCTTTGAGGAAGCTATTCTAATGTCAGTAAGTCCTGGGTTTTTCGCTGTGATTACATTGCACACTTCAGATAAGGCAGGCATTTGCAATAGGGCCACAGTGGGAATAACTGAACAAATGGGTAGGATAGTATTTTGTAAGCTATATCATCAACCAACTAGGTCAAAATATAATTTATATTATATTATATTATATTATATTATATTATATTATATTATATTATATTATTATATTATATTATTATATTATATTATATTATATTATATTATATTATATTATATTATGCTGTCTTTCACCATAAGGGTAAAGGTAAAGGGACCCCTGACCATTAGGTCCAGTCATGGCCGACACTGGGGTTGTGGCACTCATCTCGCTTTATTGTCCGAGGGAGCCGGCGTACAGCTTCCGGGTCATGTGGCCAGCATGACTAAGCCACTTCTGGCAAACCAGAGCAGTGCACGGAAATGCCGTTTACCTTCCCGCTGGAGTGGTACCTATTTATCTACTTGCACTTTGACATGCTTTCGAACTGCTAGGTTGGCAGGAGCAGGGACCAAGCAACAGGAGCTCACCCCGTCACAGGGATTCGAACCGCCGACCTTCTGATCAGCAAGTCCTAGGCTCTGTGGTTTAACCCACAGCGCCACCCACGTCCTCACCATAAGGATAGGTTACAGCAAAACCATTTAAATTATACATTTTAAAATCAGATAAGACTAATACTTGATAAACAATTTAACTCAGAGAATAAAGGTAGGTCATCTCTCAGCTGTCAATGTCCAGAGTAAAAAGCTCCATATTCAGCATATGACAAAAGCCGTACAACAAGGACACCTGATACATGCCCATGGGGAGCAAATCCCACACCTGGGGGCGGGAGTTGCCACAAAGAATGCCCTTTCTTGGACCATCACCACTGAACCTCTGAGGGTGGTGGAACCAAGAGCCCCTCTGCTGATCTTTTTATTTTTTTCCTCCAAAGAGTATGCTGATGAAAGTAAACCTTATAGTGTTTATCAGGGATTCTGTAGCTGTGATTCCTGCATTGCAATGGCTTGGACTAGACTTTTTGGGTCCTTTCCAACTCCGCAATTCTACAAGAATTCATGTGAATAATATGCAGCCCTAGGGATAAAATTTTAAACGAAAAAGCAAACAGTGTTGGCAGAGAACATCAGTACCTTGTGGCGTAATCGTACAAGAGGCTGATAGCTTTTGAAGTCATATCCTTCTTTTGCTGGCCATCCTTCCACACCCAGTAAGATGCCTCCAAGGAAAGAAACAATTGTCCACCACCTAAACATCTTTTCGAGACCCTCTGCCTAAACAAACAAGATGAAAAGGAAAGGAAAGTGTTATGAATCAGAGATATAGTGGATTTGTTAAAGTTCCATAAATATTAAAAAATGTTGGAATTTAATTTATAGATTTCAACAAACAGTAGAAAACCAGCACAGGCTAATACAGATATATGAGTGGGTGGAATTGGGAGCTAATACAGCTGTTTGGGGCGGTACTCAATATTTTCTAATCAACATTCAGCATCCATATCCTGACATGAGCAGCGAAAAATAAACCAATAAAATCTTGAAAGGCGAGAAATCTAAGAGGAATCCACTGCAAAGGAAATGCTCTTTTTAAAACACCGAAAGACAGAGAAAATAGATAAGAGCATCTAACCTTTTTTTGCTTATAAACACATTCCTTTTTGAATGTCTGTCTACATTACTAATGAGGAAAACCAATAAAAAAGGGGCACATTGGTCTATGCTCTACGAAGGACAGGGGATATGGAACCCTTTCAAACAAGCGGCTGCTATGAGACTGTGGCAAGGGACTGTGGCATTCACAGAGCACCACAGGCTGCCAGTATATGTCCTGGCAAAAGACATGTTCTTAAGAGGCAAAAGTCTTATTTCCTCCCAAACATTCCATACAAAAACACACATAAGACGGTAAACAACAAATAACAAACTAAATATTGATGTATGTAATTTTGATTTCTTAATTATATTTAGTGGTAGTCTGGTTTTATTGTTTTTAGTAACATAAAATCATTCAATAAAAATTAATTAAAAAAGCGAGGCAAAAGTCATGGGTTCTGAGCCAAAACAGAGCACACTGCACCGCCAAAAACACACACACACACACACACTTCCCAATTTTTAATTTTTTTTTTATTTGCACACCTTTTGAGCTGGATTGGAGTAAGAAAACGGCTGCCGGCCAGTGTGGCAAGCCAGGGGGGGGGTCTCATAAAGTTCTCCAAACTTAAAAATGAAAAGTGTAATGCTGGTGGTCAACAAAAGAGGTTTAAAGACTCTCTCAAGGCAAATCTTTAAAAATGTAGTATAAACACTGACAACTGGGAAACACTGGCCAGCGAGCGCTCCAGTTGGAGGACAGCCTTTACCAAAGGTGTCATGGGCTTTGAAGACGCTCATCCTTGAAAGGGAGAAATGTGCTAAGAGGAAGGCACGCTTGGCAAACACTCACTGTAATCAACTCCCGCCCGGAAACCTATGTCCCCACTGTGGAAGGAATGTGTGGATCCAGAATTGGCCTCCACAGTCGCTTACGAACTCATTGCTAAAACCGTGTTTATGGAAGACAATCTTACAGTGGAGCTTCGCAAGATGAAATTAATTCGTTCCGCGAGTTTTGTCGTCTTGCGATTTTTTTCGTCTTGCAAAGCACGGTGTCGGAAAAGTTTCGGAAAAGCTTCAAAAATCACCAAAGTCTTCAAAAACCTCAAAAAAGGCTACCACACCGCGTGCTATGAGTTGCTCCTCGAAGTCAAGTCGCAACTGTATTAACGGTGTTAAGAAAAAGGAAACAAAGTTGCAAGACGTTTCCGTCTTGCGAAGCAAGCCCATAGGGAAAATCGTTTTGCGAAGCAGCTCAAAAAACAAAAAACCCTTTCGTCTTGCGGGTTTTTTGTCTTGTGAGGCATTCGTCTTGTGAGGTACCACTGTACTCAGCTCGAGTGATCGCCATAGAAGAAAAAGACGTAGTTCTCTTAGCAATGGGAAAGTATCTGCTACCCTCCTCATTCAGAGTGGTTCTCGTTTGCATAATTTTACTATTTGCTTTGCAGCATATTCAGGTCATCATGCTCACTCAATGATCCCTGGATGGCTGGGATCCTGTCGCAAAGAACCCCTAAACATTGTTTTTTAATAGCAGGCTAGAGGAGCTGGAGACAGCTGGGGAAAATGTGACAGGCCACTAGTGTAGCAAACTCCTGGGGAGAACTGCTTGAAACCTTATTTTTCATGTTTTTTAAAAAAAATAATTGAAAAGTTGATGCAGCGCTACTTAAACTATTTCTAAATTTGCATCTGTAAATATAAATTACCATGTGCAAATTTTATGCAAATGTGTGTGGGGGGGGGTAAGGTACAAGTGACCAGCCTGGTGTACGCAAGCAACAAACCATGGAGCTTTTCATTGTAAGCAATTGAATAATACATGAAAACTGACTTTCACATGCAGCAGAAAGAACAGTTCCTATTCACCCTCTCTCTGCCCCAGCTCTCCATCTGTAAAATGGGAATCTTAATGACACTAGGTTGTTCTCAAGACAAATGATATCATTACTGTTTGATGGCTTTGCATATACAGAAACTCAACAGAAATGAACAGGAAAGCACAGCAGAACAGATTTGCCTGGCACACAGGATGCTAATTCAGCTCTGTGGTGCAAGCCACACTATGCATAACTTGAGGATCAAGGTGTAAAATGGATTTGACAAGCCACTAGATAGCTTGTTTTCTTGAATGTCAAAAATAAAAATTCATTGCAGCTAATGATATTTAGCTAGTGTGCTTCATGTTGAGGAATAATTGAAAAAAGCAAGGCAAAGAAGTTTCCTTTTGAAACTAAAATTCACCTAAAGCTATTTTTTTCTACAATGCTTTAAAAAAATTCCCAAAAGCAAACCAGCAAACCATTTGAGCCCAAGTATCTGGCAAAAAGGTTTTGTGGTACCATCTTTTAATTAAAAGGTGTTGTAATGAGCTTTTACAACTCTTCATACAAACAACTGTTCATATAGATAACTGGGAGCTTGTTGACAACAAAACACAGGGAACCACGCAAGTAAAACAAAACACGTGGACCTGAGATTGTTTCCAATTTATTGGAATGTCATTGATATACCATTTAGAGTATAACTAACTCTCTCTTTCTCTCTCAAAGGAAACCGTAATTAGGCACTGCTCTCAATTCATAATTAGATTTTATTTATTTCTTAAATTGATATCCAACCCTGTTTTCCAAAGGAACCAAGAACGGCAAACATACAAAAAGTAAAACATCTCCGATACAGATGCAGACCGGGAAAGATCTCTTCTTAAAGAGTTTGTTGGAAGAAGAAGGTCCACCTTATGGGCTGAAAAGAGTTGACCCTGTCTAATATTTAGCAGGAGGGAATTCCAAAAGGTAGGCACCACAACATTTAAAGACCAGATTCATATGTTGTGTGGAATGGAGCTCTTGGTGAGATGGTATTTGCAGGAGGCCTTGCATAGTGCAGTGATCATTTGGATATATAAAGGGTGGGGTGATCTTTCAGGAACCCTGATCCCAAGCTTTTTCATGCACTAAAACCAGCACCTTGAAGTTAGCCTGTGGGCCAAAAGGCAAGCCCATGTAATTATTTTAGCAGCAGTGTAACATGATAGTAATAGCCTGGCCCTCTGAGCAATCAAACCACTACATTTTGCACTAGCTTCTGGACCACCTCAGGGGCAGTGCCAGGTTGCAATAATCCACTACTAGAGGCTACTAGTGCATGGACAACAGAAGTCAAGCTATCCCAGTCTAATAATGATTTTGGCTGTCTTACCAGCAAAAGTTAGTAAAAGGTGCTACTACCCACGGAGTAGCTTGCACCTAAGCTCCTAGCAGTATTAATGTTTAATTGTTTTTAATGATAGATTTTTTTCTATGTTTTTAGCAATTCTTGGCTTTATCTGTAAACCGCCTTGAGTCCCATAACAGGAAAAGGCAGGGTATAAATATATATATAAGAATATTGATAAACAGATGTCACATTTTCATCTCCAAGGTTAGACCAATGTCTTCTCATTGATGTGCCTCTCTTCTAGGAACAATAAGATAGCAGGACTAGACACCTGAGAGTAGATTGCATCATACAAAGGTATATTCCAAACCTTGCACTGAGACTGAATCAGAATTTTTCTTCTGACCCTTGTGCTTTTCTCAACTGTATAATTTTGGCATTTTAAAAAACAAAAGTGCAAAAATACACCCAACTGACTAGGGTTCCTAGAAAGAGGAAGCCTGTGACATAATAATGTCTTAGGAAAGCAGAAGACATCTATTCAAGTAAATTCATTATAGTCTCTTGTAGTTTTGATTTACTGATGATTGGAAGCATGGATATCCCATGTCTGGCAGAATGCCAACTTCTGTGAATTTGGCCTGTTTCTAAATCATATTTGACATATTTCACAATTAAGGCCAATGCCGTGAAATGTGGATTCAGACAGTCGGAGCCGCAATAATCAATAACTGCCTTGTTTCTTGCTACTTAAGGATGACACAGAAATAGATATATAGCCAAGAAAGCAATTTGCATAAGATTTCTAGAAAATTCTATTTAGGCTCAGCTCATTCTTCCATCCATCTTAGATAAAGTATCTTTGCCACATTCCCACAAAAAAAGGAAAGCATTATCAAATGCATTCAACAGGAAAAAGTAGTGAAGAACAGCAACTTTCAATAATGCTTAGAAGAATCCATAGATCCATGAAAGTACCAGGCATCAAATTAAAATCTCCTGTATCCAACATAGAGGACACAAAGTCTTTCTTTTGAGAAATGTCTTTCTCTTAGCTACAAACCTTTCTGTATTTTAAAATACGTTTTTGAATACATATTCCAGTTTATGGTATAGTTCATTTCATTCCATCGTATAGTTAAATATATGCATTCTAGTTTTATGGTCCAATTTATGGTATCCTGTAAGAAAAAAACAAGAATATATATCCCATTTATATCCTAGTGTTCCTTGGAGACACCTTGAAGACTATTTAGTAGAAAGGTAGGGCATAGATTTTCAAATATAGATAAATAAATGGAGTTTAGACTGGCATGTTTATTTATACTGTTATCAGCTTTGAATTTAATTTTTTTTTTTTTTTTTAGGAGAAAGGCGGGTATAGGTATGAATAAGTTTTAAAAAAGAAGGATATGGAGCCATTCCATTTTATCCTCCCCAGTAGGTTAAGCTGAGCTATAAAATGGGATAGGCTAAGATTATGATTTGCTTATGGTCACTCATTGAGCTTCATG